GCATGTTAAATGCTAAACAGACAACACATTCAAATACTTAAGGTTTTTCTCCATATTCACTGGGAACAAACTTTTATACAGCAGGTATACATTAAAATCAATCAGAATAAGTAGAAGTCATCACAAACATGACTAGTTATACACCCATAAACCTCAAAATTTTATTGAAATTTAATGAAATAAGAATGTGTCCATAGTACATGGATGCCCCACTCGCACTATCATTTTCTATGTTCTGTGGACCGTGAAATTTGGGTAAAATCTCAATTTGGCATTAACACTAGAAAGATCATATCATAGGGAACATGTGTACTAAGTTTCAAGTTGATTGGACTTCAACTTCATGAAAAACTATCTTAACCAAAAACTTTAAACTTAAGTGGGACAGACAGCCGAACAGATGAACGAATGCACATACCAGAAAACATAATGCCCCTCTACTATTGTAGGAGTGTAGGTTGGGCATAAAAATATTATAGGAGTGTAGGTTGGGCATAAAAATAATATATCTAAAATGTGCTCCCCCTCCCCCTCATAAATATAACAGCAAATATGATCTGTTAAGGGTTAGGTTTTGGAATTTATTTAAGATTGTTTGGACTAGTTTGGTTTTTCTCTATGATAAACTATAACGGGGCAAAACATTATACCCATTTCACCCATTTTTTTAAAAGAAGACCTCAAACAGCTATTAGTTTCATTGACATTAAAAGTGCAGAATTTTTTTTTTCAATTAGGACCCAAAAATAGTTCTCAACAGAAATGTGATCAAAAGTGATCAGCAGGCAATACCACAGCTTATCACAAACTACATGTATATAAAAAAATAACAACAATTTAAAACAATTATATGTAAACTTGGCACTGTACAACAAAAGATCACTTAAATCTGAATAAAGAATCAGAACAATTATTTAATGTAAAAGTCTAACAATATTTTGACAAAAAGTTATAGTTACCTAGTTAAGGTAGCACTACAGTTGATTTTTACGTGATTTTTTTTAACACATTATTTTTTTTAACAGCACCAAGCAGTTGAATCAATATATCTTCTAATTGGTGGCATATATCAAAAATCTGAGACACAGTTTTGTAGCTTCTGTATGGTCAATGAAATGTATGAAAACAAATTTTTACCACCATTTGAAATGAATGTGCTGTTTTTATCGAAGTCTGGAGAGAACTTTTTTTGGCAGTTTAATAGGTCTATTTATGTTTCATTAACTGGATGAAAACACTTGATTGGATATGGATTTTTTAATATTTTCTACTCTTTTCATGTCTTTCTTCTTAATCTTAATTTTGGAATATATGTAAATAACTATATTTTCACTGATTTCTTATCAATAATGGATTTACAAAATAAACTCTTGACTTTTATGATTTGGAGTGCAACAGACTGACCACATTTGACATGTTTAAAGAATTTCATGAAAACAAATTATATTACTATGCAGTATTCTAACACTGCTAAAATAAACTACATAACATGCATAAAGTAAAAACTTTCATAATATTTATAACCATTTTCAACAGAAAACTGAAACCAGGGAGTACAAGTAATTTAAATGACATACATAATCAAACAGCTATATGAAATCTAAATTATTCTTTTTTAGCAATCTCCATGACAAATATGATACATGAAATACATAAACAGTTGAGCAATGTTTTGAATCAGAAACTATAAAATAAAAGACATCAACAAGGGCAATATAATAATATCATGAATATAAGTACTAAAACATGAAAAAAACCTGAGTTTGAACATATGTTAACAAAAACATTCAATAAAAGTTGTATCAAAGTAATTTTCAAAATTGTTTTAAACAAAACATACCTTTCAAATAAAACATCAAAACACAATTCAGTAATATAAAGGCATTACTTAAAGGGGCACTAGTTGTCAAATTCATGTTCACTGATTTGACTCAAATTGTCATATTTGATTATAACAACGTAAAACTTTTATTCAAATAATAAAAAGTCTAAAATAAACAAAATACCGGGCAGGGCTACATAATATGTAGCTTCGTTTCGCGTGCATTTTAGTCTAGATGCAATCTATTTAACTGTCTAGTTGACCCCTAAAGAGCTCTGATTGCCATTTATGCAATATATACATAAATATAGATATAAATAGATATCAGACTCATGCATTTGGATTTCATTTTCATTAATGATTGAACCAAAAAAAAAATCTCATTTTATATTCATTATATATCTTGTAGCTAGTGCCCCTTTAATCTTGAAGCTGTAAACAAGGCACAAAAATGTAAGGAAACTAAGTTCTAGGACAATTGGCATGTTGATAAAATAGTTTCATATTATTGTATAGTGGCACATATTGAATGGTCAGCAAATATAATATAATGGAAAAAAATCACCAAAAGACATTAATTGAAGAAGCACTATAACAATGATTAAATGAAAAAACTAGAGGCTCTAAAGAGCCTGTGTCGCTCACCTTGGTCTATGTGCATATTAAACAAAGGACACACATGGATTCATGACAAAATTGTGTTTTGGTGATGGTGATATGTTTGTAGATCTTACTTTACTGAACATTCTTGCTGCTTACAATTATCTCTATCTATAATGAACTTGGCCCAGTAGTTACAGTGGAAAATATTTTGTACAAATTTACAAAAGTTTACAAAACTTATGAAAATTGTAAAAAATTGACTATAAAGGGCAATAACTCCTTAAGGGGTCAATTGACAATTTTGGTCATGTTGACTTATTTGTAGATCTTACTTTGCTGTACATTATTGCTGTTTACAGTTTATCTCTATCTATAATAATATTCAAGATAATAACCAAAAGCTGCAAAATTTTCTTAAAATTACCAATTCAGGGGCAGCAACCCAACGTGTTGCCTGATTGGTCTGAAAATTTCAGGGCAGATGGATCTTGACCTGATAAACAATTTTACCCCCTGTCAGATTTGCTCTAAATGCTTTGGTTTCAGAGATATAAGCCAAAATCTACATTTTACCCCTATGTTCTATTTTTAGCCATGGTGGCCATCTTGGTTGGTTGGGCGGGTCACCGGACAAATTTTTTGAACTAGATACCCCAATGATGATTGTGGCCAAGTTTGGTCAAATTTGGCCCAGTAGTTTCAGAGAAGATTTTTGTAAAAGTTTACGGACGACGGACGCCAAGTGATGAGAAAATCTTACTTGGCCCTTTGGGCCAGGTGAGCTAAAAATAACTGGTTATGCATAAGAGTAGTATGTAACCAGTTATTTTAATCAAAGTACACAATGTGCATGGTATGCATGGTATGTATGGTATGTATGTGTTGTGTACACGTAATAATGTTTTCATTAAAATGTTCTGGAAATTTTTCATACATTGTTTCATGCAAAATTATATATAAAAAAATCTTCTCGTGTACAAATTTTTTTTTTGATCAATACTATGTATTATATATATTTGACTGTATCTTGTAGTCCTTGTATTATTCATTTATTGTTTATGATTTAGTGCATTAAAAACACTCATTATTAGAATTTGTATACAACATACACATGACATAGTTATACCATACGCATACATATACCAATAAATTCAAAATCATGGATTTAGTCATAAGAACCAAGTTCTGTGATATGAAGGCATTACAGATTATTCCAGTTACATTAGCACTAACATGTTATATTCAATGTTAAAAAGCACTAAAGTGTAGTTCTCAAGGTGAAGCACTAACATGAAATATTTAAGGTTAACCAGCACTTCAATGTAATTTTCCAGGTTTTACAGCACTTAACATTTCTTGAAGAGGAAGAGTTGAACATTGGAAAATAAAATCTTAAATTCATGTACCTTGTAACACTTGAACAACAACAGCATGAACATACAAATTAAAGTATATTTCTAAATAAAAGTTGTAATATTTGACTTGTCTTGACATTTCAAGGCTTATGGAGGTGTAACATCATCATGCTGATCACTATCAGATATAGTTTATTCTTTAATCATGTATCCAGAAGCAATACACACTATTGATCAGAGAAGTTGTTAACAATGTGTATGGGGCAATTTTACCCGCATAAAACAACTAACTTTCTTAATGTTTTATATCAAAATTTTGTTTTGCTTTATCGAAATTTAAAGTTATTTCAAAAATATATGCTTGATAACATATTGAGATAGGAATAATCCTTACATAATGAGTTAATCTTTATACATAAGTACTTCCATAAGCCTTAAAATCTCTTGGTCAGTAAAATGTATGGACATAATGATATCAATTAGTAAAAAATTTTTTGCAGAAAGATTGAAATTTGTTCTGTATTTCTTTGTACTTTTTAATGTGCCAAATCCTGCCATAGGAGTCTTTGGTGACTACTTCAACATTGGTTTCGAAAATGAATTCTTTTCTGACACAGGATGTATCTTCCTTGGCGGGCCATTTGAAGTCATTTCCAGTTGATATCTTTTTCATAAAATTAATTTTAAAAGTGTCATCCACCTTTTCCACAACAAGTCCAGCGAACCATTCGCTCTCATATGCAACAGCGACGTATTGACCCACTTTGATTTCATCATCTGAAAAGTAAATTGAAGTAATTAAAAATATATCTTGACTATGCTAACCCTAAAGGTCTAGAAAAAAAAATGAGACTATTTTTTTTACCAAAATAAATTAATTCACAATATACATATGTCTTGTCCTCCGACTACCACAAACACACTATTAGCTAAGTTTAATTTAGAATATGATAACAAAAATTCTAGTATCTTCTACACTTTCATAGATTTTTTATATGGTTTGTTGATAAAAATATGATGTATTTCTCTGGTTTATGACACTGGTGTGCATAAAAAAACTTAATCATGTTAATGGATAGGACATTTTCTATTTTGTAGTATTAATTCTAATTATGTTCCATTATACATGTACTACTTTAGGATATCATTATAATTTTCCATTTTCTTTGTTAATCATGTTTGTTGTTGGTCATTGTCTAATTTTCCTTACCTTTGCTTATGTCAGTAGCCTCAAATTCCAAAATCCCTTCCTCAGTATTCATCTAAAAAAAGAAAACAAAACAATGAGATGTAAATAAATGTCAATTTTCCCTTTCTTGGAAGGATGCAATGAAATAAAAATATGAAATTGACATACATAATGTGTTCATTTTTAGTCAAAGTCATTTTATGGAACACCATAGAAGTCTTACCATGAACAGTTGGGGATGTCATTATAAAACAATACATTAAATATCAAATCTATATCTTCAAGCATGAAGAAAAAAAGTGTGGAAAACTGATTTGTCAGACTGACAGATGGACAGAGTGCAAACCCAAAGTCCCCTTCGACTTCATTGCTAGGGGACTAAAAAAAAGTTTAATATTAGCATTATACTAACGAAAATTTTAGTAGATATATTACCTGCAGCTGCAAAAGATCCTGGACAATGGGATATCCCAATTCTTCTGTTAGAGTAGCAGCATACAAAAAGCTAAAAATAAAAATAAAGTCAAACAATTTTTTCAAGTTTATTGTTTATGTTGAGACAAATTAATGGTATTTTGTCTCATCACTAATTGTAAATTGAGAATGTGATGTAAAAATAAATTCCACATTGTACCTGTAACAGTGTTTTTTTAGTTGTCTGTATATTTCTAATCCTTACTGTTAAGTCCAATTTTGGTTGTATTGCCATTTTTACTTATATTGTGTTTGTTTTGATCACACTTTGTCAATATAATGGCCTGCTACTAGACTGTTGTCAAGTGAGAGATTTGGTTAGGTTTAATCCACTCTTATGAGTAAGAAAATGTCCGTACCAAGTCAGAAATATGTCAGTTGCTTTCCATACATTGATGTGTTGGATCATTCTATTTTGCCATTTGAATAAGGACTTTCCTTTGAGTTCAGTATATTTCTTATTTTACTTTTTTCTTGTACATTGTTCCAATATCGTTTTCACTTTACTGTTAAAAGATAAAAAAAAAAGGGATGATATGAGGTAAATGTACGTGTGACAAAAGCACATAAAATACATGGAAAATAGAAATTATCAATAAACAGGGATTTAATTCCTGTTCCTCATTGACAGTAGTTGTAGAGTCTTCCACAATGAACGAAACATTCATACTTTACAACGAGGTCAAGACAACCCCTAGCATCAACTTAAGGATGTTCACTTGCCATATTTTGGATTTTTTGTCAGATTTTCGGAATCCTCTGGTTTTATCCATTCGTATGCATTAAATTTTTTTGCCCATTGACCCCCATTTTTCTTTTTATAAATCTTTTATATGTATAATTATAAGCCATCTGTAAAAGTCTTACAAAATCTTTGTTATTTTTTAATAGTTTTTGAGAGCTTTAACTTGTCAATGATAAAGCTATGAAAAGTCAAGAGAAAACATTTCCCGCCAAAATTTCAATGGCTAATATCTCGAAAAATCCTTTATTTATCCCCTTTCAATATACACTAGTGTTATGAAAAGCTTGTTATTTTGAAACTGAGTAGCGAACTTCCTTAAGTGGTACTATTGATAAAAGATGAACCACAGTTTACCATCTAACCCCACCCACCTCTGAATGCCAACTTGTGCGATGCTTAAAGTCTGACACTAATCAATTTAAATAAATTACAAGTTCACTTTACTGATAGTGTTATCTCTTTGATCATTGTTTCTTTTCTTCATATTAGTCACAAACCTGTCGTCTTGCAGAACTTCTTCGTAATGTGTTTCTTCTTTCTCTTGAGTAACATCTTTTTCTACGTCCTCTTGGTCTTTTTCTTTCTCTTCCTTCTCTTGATCTTTTTCTTTCTTTACCTTCTCTTTCTCTTCCTCCTCATGATCGTTTTCTTGCTCTACCTTCTCTTGATCTTTTTCTTTCTCTACCTTCTCTTAATCTTTTGCTTTCCTATCCTTTTGTCTATCAACTCTGACAAGAGAAAAAATACATTGATAACTTGTGACAAATAAGAACTCTTAAACAACATGTAAACTTTCCAATTCGACATATTAAAGATAAAAAGATTTTTATATATATATAAAATGACGAAGGCCGTAATGGCCGAAATGTATGGAAAATTGTGTTATAGTTTTTATTATACAATCATATATATATGTCGAAAATAGTTGTTGCAGTACCACTGAAACTTGCATATATAAATGCATTGAAATGGGGTATTCAAGATTTCATTTTAAAACAAATGAAAACATATCTCATAAAACAGAAGCCAAATACTGCTACATACTTGTTTATAACAGGACTCTGGTCACTGTCATGACTGCTTATATTGATCTTATCATTCTCACTTTCACTACTCTCAGTACTGCTACTTTGGATGCTGTCAAAAAATAAGAAATTGTATTATTTCGGTCATTTTAAATGAATTGATGAAAACATAATACAACATAAACAATTCCGATGAGATGTCTTAAGGATGTATTAAGTTAAGGTTTTGTAATTATTTGTCAGATGTTTGGACTCTTTTTTTGTTTTTTCCTAAGATTTAGCCCCATATTACCCATTTTTTGGCATACAAGACTTCAAATAACCAGCTCATAAAAGGTTCCTAACAAAATTTGTAGATTTAATTTCTAATGTTAAAGACCAAAAAAATACATCTTTAATTCATTTGTGATAACAGTTACAAGTAATTTAAATTGTTTTAGACAAGTTTCAGTGTAAGAATGTATTATATAGATATAAGAAGATATGTGCTTACTAAGTGCCCTTCTTTCTACCACCTCGTCCTTTTCCTCTTCCACCTCTAATGCCTTTACCCCTTCCTCAATGTGGCCTGCCACAAGAAGTACCTCTTTAAATAATTAAAAAGTATATGTAATTTTTTAATCAGGATAATTTTTGGCAACATCTCAGTTTTTCTTTTTGTGTGATTAAATGTTTATGCTGTTGTCTCTTTTTTTATGTGTGCTTGACTGTTGTTATATTATTTCAAGTTATACATACGCACAGTAAATATTGGCAACTTATCGACTTGCAGAAGTCATTTGCTGCAACTTTTGATTCCATAAATTCATTTTCTCTTAAACATAGACTCATTCAACAGGTTCAAGTAATATTTTGTTTTCAAATTTTTCAAACTCATGAAACATTTAAGACCTCTATGATTAAATTAATTTTCAATTGTGTCTATAGTTTCTGAAAAGTATTTTTACACAAGAATTGTTGAACCTTATATTATATGATTATGGTAATATACTTAAGTATACTTAATTTAAATGCACATTGACTCTTTCATTTAAATTTTTGCTAATCTTTTTCTTTTCCTAAAGAACTAATTGCCTTCCTTATAATGTATATTGCGTAATTGTGGTATAACCCTTTATAGTTTCTAGTGATATAGAGATATGTTACCTGTTAGGTAGCGTCCTGGAAGGGATGCATGTTGCTTTAGTGGTTGGTTTCCTACAAAGTAAAATATAAATTTAATTCAGATCCCAACATTCACACAGTTATTACATTGACCATTGACTGATAGCTCAATACACTGTAAAAATAATTTATTTAAGCACAGGCCAAAAAACAACTTAATTTGTAATTGCAAGTAACCGAGCAATAAACATGATAAAATAACTCTTACCTGACAACACTAGATACTATCAAATAATCGAGACTTTTAGGGATGTACTTAGGTGATGTTTTGTAATTTTTATCAGATTTTTTCCTATGATACAGGGTAAAGTATTTTGCCCCATAACAACCATTTTTCTTTTCATATAAGACTTCAATCATTTTTTGTCAATAGCTCATATAAGGTCATTTCTTAAAATTTAAGCAGATTGTATGTAGACTTTTTCTAACGATTTTTAAACCCAAATAATACCAAGGCAAATATAAGGTAAAAGTCTTAGTCAGCCTTTTCCGCCATTTTTTAAAACTCAAATATCTTGAAAAGGAGCTACATAACCTATCAATATGTTCAGCTTATTTTATTCTGTAACTAATGCTCTTTCGACTTATCAATTTAAAATCCTTGAATTTCTCCTTAGTACATCCTTCAGATATTTCTACATTAAGTCCTTGTCTCTTTCTTGTTATAAAGGTATAGAACCACTTATTCCACACGTTAATTAAAGGTATGTTGAATTTTTCAGCACAAGTCAGGATAAGGTATAGTTTTGACATGAAATGACTGCTACTTTATTTAAACTTAAAACAAAGTAGCCATTAATACTCAAAATTGCAGAGTTTAACATAGAAAACAAAGGGCTATGAATTAATGGTTTTACACCTAAAGAGATGTTAATTTTAAATGATTTTTTACCTCTGTTTAAATGTTTCTTCATACAGTCTTTTCCTTGCTGTCTTTCTTTGTTCAAATTGCTGTTGTGCTTGTTGTGGTTCAATATGCTGTTGTTGTTGTTTAGGATGCTGTTCTGGTTTTTTATGCTGCCATTTTTTTTACACATTGTCTTTGAAAATAGTTTTTCCTTTACAAATCTTCAAAAGACTTTGGAGTGATGGCAAATTATTTGCTGCAACTTTTAAACTTTCATGGGAAAAAAGTGCATTAGCTAAGGAAAAAAAAGCTTTTTTCTTACTTTCTTCTTTGATTTCATGTGAAAAAAAAAGTTTTTTGTAAAATGCTGACATCCTCCATGGCATTATGTGCAGAAAAATCTTGCTGTAGGAAAAATGTAACAAAAAATTGTTGAGAATACGACAATAAACCAGGTTGTGTGAACAAAATAAAAATTTGGTATCAAGAAAACCAGAAACAAAAGTATTAATCTTCTCAATTTTTCCAACTGCTTCTAAAGCATTAAACAGAACATGGCAATCAAAAGATTTGATATTGTGTGAATTTGTGTCCATACAGACATATTCCACTTCCAATTTTCGAGAGAAAATCAATAAATGCATCTAAAGCACTAGATATGTCAGATGTTTCAACAATTTTCCATTGTGATGCATTCTACCATTTCGACCAGTTATGCCATTCACCTCTGATGCTTAGGGAGAAACAGGTATTTTTGGTCTGACATAACATTGCCACTGCTTATCTCTCAGACTGTGTTATGTGGGAGTTGCGACCTGTAATTAAACAAATGTTTGTTAATCACCGTCATAATTGCCATTTTGTAGAAACATAAAATGATCACACATAATTGAAGTGTCTACAGACAATGCTGATTACAGCATCATTACATTATACTCGTCCAACTTTTGTGGTCGCATAGATTAAATCTCATAATTAAATCCAACAATTACTAAAAATATGTACAAAATATAGGTTCTGTTTCTACGGAAAGGAATCATCACTTTCTGTAGATCTGAAACGATTGTCAACCCTAAAACAGGAAGAGGGTATTTGGTTTCATTTGAAAACAACTTACAACTTGCCTCTCATCATTATGAAATTACAAATCATTCCCATATTTAGAAGCTGAGAAATATGTGAAGGAAAATTTCTGGATGTATGAACAAAAGTAGGCAAATTGGTAATGCGGAGGCAAAAAAAAAAACCAACATAATGTAACATATAGCAAGATATCTATTAACAATCAGGTTTGATATATGAACTATTTTTGAACTAAAAAATATGTCTTTGAGACACAGGGTGTCTATCTATATATGAAACTGCAGATAAAAACTAACCATATCGCTCAGGCAGAAAATGTAGGTCTTAGTGACCTTAATAATAGTGAACCCTGTTGTACTACATGTACCTTAGACAAATCATGCATATTGAGCTATAAATAATTTCCTGTATGAAATTCATTTTTCTTTTAAGCTATGATTTGTAGTGCTCATAAAATAAAGCATATGCATTGGTATGCAATACAAATATTACGAGTACAGAGTGAAATGAAAACTCAAACTGTGTTGAAAATACTAGGGTCATGAGGGTTGATGCTTTGAAGATTCTTATGCAAGGTGCCAATATAATTACAATTTAAAACATGATCTGAACCAAACAAGAGGCTCTCAAGAGCCTGAATCGCTCACCTGTATTTCAGAGGAGAAGATTTTTAAATGTTAGCAAAATTGATGAACAAATTGTGTAAAATTGTCTTTAAAGGGCAATAACTCCTTAAGGGGTCAATTGACAATTATGGTCATATTAACTTTTTTGTAGATCTTACTTTGCTGAACATTATTGCTGCTTACAGTTTATATATATCTATAATAATATTCAAAATAATAACAAAAAACTGCAGAATTTTGTTAAAACTACCAATTCGGTGGCAGCAACCCAACAATGGGTTGTTCGATTCGTCTGAAAATTTCAGAGCTGATAGATCTTGACCAATTGAACAATTTTACCCCCATGTCAGATTTGCTCTAAAAGCTTTAGTTTTTGAGATATAAGCCAAAAACTGCATTTGACCCCTATGTTCTATTTTTAGCCATGGCGGCCATGTTTGTCGATGGATCAAAACTTGGGATACAATTTATAAACTAGATACCCTAAGGAACATTTAGTAAAGTTTAGAGGTATTTGGCCCAGTAGTATCAGAGGAGAAGATTTTTGAAATAGTTTACGATGACAGATGACAACAGACGACGACGGACGCCAAGTGATGGCATAAGCTCACATGGGGCCCTTCGGGCCCTGGTGAGCTAAAAAGTTGTTTAATGACTCTATTAAGGGGCTGGGGACAGAGGGTGTTTGCTGTTTGTCAACAAAAACAACATCCTTGTGTTATTCTAAGACTCTTTGTACTCAAAATAGGGTGGGTCTTTTCACCACCGAACACCCAAAAAAACCATCAACCACTGAGAAAATCAGTGATTTTATACAAGAAAACAGTAAAATCAATTAAATTACGTCTAATTTTTTAGATGTTTATGTGCATCATTTTTCGGGTAACAAGAATGATCGAATAACACCGTTATTATCCAAATAACACTTGTAATGACCGAATAACACTTGAAATTTTAATATTAGCACATATTGGTGACTTTTAAACATTGATTATTAAATAATATTATATTATGTGTGTATTTTATAACTTAAAAATGATTAACAGAAAGCAGGTAAGTTCATAAAGATCGTTTTAAATTTAGTGTGTACATCCAACATGGCGACCATTGTGATTTCCTTGGTCGCCATGTTGGATGTACACACTATATTTAAAATAATCTTTATGAACTTACCTGCTTTCTGTAAATCATTTTTAAGTTATAAAATACACACATAATATAATATTATTTATAAATCAATGTTTAAAAGTCACCAATATGTGCTAATATTAAAATTTCAAGTGTTATTCGGTCATTACAAGTGTTATTTGGATAATAACAGTGTTATTCGGTCTTTCGAGGTACCGTCATTTTTCTGTTAAAGTCGATTATCAATATAATCCATATAAAGGAGAGAAAAACGTCTCCGGATTCATCACTATTTTTCCGGATTACATTGTTTGTGTATAAGAATCATTTGACATCAATTACTGATGAAGGATATTAGTTACCCGAAATATTTAACATTTGTTCATGTCTCTTTTCTTGTTATTGATACAACTATTTTATAAAAGAAGAAAAAAAATGAAGAAAAAAAATTATTTGAGGTGTCCAGTGGTGGTTTGCAGAGTGGTAGTGTTATAGACTCTCCTTTTCTGTTCGATTTCTGGGGTGTTCGGTGGTGTTCGGTGGTGAAAAGACCTACCGCTTAAAATATACGGTCATAAACCGCACAAGTTCGTGCTTGTGTCAATTAATTTATTCCAGTCATGTTTTCGTACCAATGTGTTCCACGATTCTTGCGCTTTGGATATTATTCACAGTCCAAATTCCCTAACACAAAGTCATTGTATAAATAAAAAAATCTACAGTTTTCTAATACTGAAATTTGAGACATACCACGATTAGCGTTCTTGGGACACAGCCTATTACTCGTAAACCGAATATTTCATGCCCTTCTAGTAATCAATCTATATTCTCAGAAGATAATGTTGTCATCATTGAGCAGCAGAATATTTCGAATTAATCATTTTGGATATATTACTCGAGGAGAAATACGAAAACTGAAATTTGAAACAGGAAGTTCTCAATGAAACGAAATTATCGGCGGTTACCGGTAATGGAAATGAACAAAATACGGAAATCGTAAATCTTTAAAAAATCAAAAAAATCGGGGCGGGCGGGGATGAAAATCTATCAATTTATTTTAATTGGCCTAATTTTATTATCTCCCCTTTTTTATTTTTCAAGTGAAACCTTTTAAGACATAATTTTGAAAAATTCTATCAACAGCTTTAAAATTTAAAAATTTGGTTGGACCTCATATTCCAGGTTATTTGAATTATTCATATATGTTTACAGTTATCTAACTTAAAATAGTTTACTGCGACTTGACTATTTACCTTTACCTATTGTTCAATTGACAATACAATTGGGACATTTAAATTGACCAGTTGTTATTGTTAAGAGTTGAGTCTACCTTGATGCTACCTGTACTGTT